ACTTGCTTTGCTTTGCAGATGTTTGCCTTGTCCTATGGATGTTTGCCTTCCCTTGCCTTTTGGATGTTTGCCTCACCTTATGGATGTTTGCCTTGACTTGCTTTGCTTTGCAGATGTTTGCCTTGCCCTATGGATGTTTGCCTTCCCTTGCCTTATGGATGCTTGCCTTGCCATGTCTTATGTGTGTTTTCCTTGCCTTTCCATGCCTTACAGATGTTTGCCTTGACTTGCTTTGCCTTGCGGATGTTTGCCTTTCCATGCCTTACAGATGTTTGCCTTGACTTGCTTTGCCTTGCGGATGTTTGCCTTTCCATGCTTTATGGATGTTTGCTTTGCCTTGTCTTATGGACATTTGCCTTGCCCTGCCTAATGGATGTTTGCTTTTCCTTGCCCTATGGCTCTTTGCCTTGCCTTTTGTATGTTTGCCTTGCCTTGCCCTATGGGTGTTTGCCTTGCCCTATCTAAGTTGACATCTAAATGATCAAAGCTACCTCAATTATCAATGTGTTGTAATTGGAAAAAAGGAGCTTCATCTGCATCCCTTACAGCTCTTCTGCCTGTGAAACATCCAGCTCCAGACAGAAATGTCACACTAGAGCTTGTGTCCCTATATTTAGCAGATGATCCCTCACTGTCTTTCAGAACAGAAAGTAACGGGAAATGTCTTTGATGGAGACCCAGATAAAAACTGCTATTTAAGCACTTCTGCGTCAACATGGCCGCCCAAAACTTGTGGGATTTCAGCATCCCGTAGAAGCCAGCCTCCCCAAGATGGCAGCCTAGGGCCCAAAATATGGGACACAATAGTCTCAATGGTTTCCTGCCAGCCTAAAGAAGCAGATGATCCCTCACTGTCTTTCAGAACAGGAAGTAACAGGAAATGTCTTCGATGGAGACCCAGAGAAAGCTGATATTTAAGCACTGTTGCGTCAACATGGCCGCCCAAATCTTGTGGGATTTCAGCATCCCGTAGAAGCCAGCCTCCCCAAGATGGCAGCCAAGGGCCCAAAATATGGGACAAACTAGTCTCAATGGTTTCCTGCTAGCCTAAAGAAGCAGATGATCCCTTACTGTCTTTCAGAACAGGAAGTAACGAGAAATGTCTTCAAAGGAGACCCAGAGAAGCCAGCCTCCCCAAGATGGCAGCCTAGGGCCCAAAATATGGGACAAAATAGTCTCAATGGTTTCCTGCCAGCCTAAAGAAGCAGATGATCCCTCACTGTCTTTCAGAACAGGAAGTAACGAGAAATGTCTTCGAAGGAGACCCAGGGAAGTAAGCCAGCCTCCCCAAGATGGCAGCCAGCAGCTCAAAATATGGGACAAACTAGCCTCAAAGGTTTTCTGCCAGCCTAAAGAAGCAGATGATCCCTCACGTCTTTCAGAACAAGAAGCAACAGGAAATGTCTTCGAAAGGAGACCCAGAGAAGCCAGCCTCCCCAAGATGTCAGCCTAGGGTCCAAAATATGGGGCAAAATAGTCTCAATGGTTTCCTGTCAGCCTAAAGAAGCAGATGATCCCTCACTGTCTTTCAGAACAGGAAGTAACAGGAAATGTCTTCGATGGAGACCCAGAGAAAGCTGCTATTTAAGCACTTTTGCGTCAACATGGCCGCCCAAATCTTGTGGGATTTCATCATCCTGTAGAAGCCATCCTCCCCAAGATGGCAGCCAGGGGCCCAAAATATGAGACAAACTAGTCTCAATAGTTTCCTGCCAGCCTAAAGAAGCAGATGATCCCTCACGTCTTTCAGAACAAGAAGCAACAGGAAATGTCTTCGAAAGGAGACCCAGAGAAAGCTGCTATTTAAGCACTTTTGCGTCAACATGGCCGCCCAAATCTTGTGGGATTTCAGCATCCCGTAGAAGCCAGCCTCCCCAAGATGGCAGCCTAGGGTCCAAAATATGGGACAAACTAGTCTCAATGGTTTCCTGCGTGCCTAAAGAAGCAGATGATCCCTCACTGTCTTTCAGAACAGGAAGTAATGGGAAATGTCTTCAAAGGAGACCCAGAGAAGCCAGCCTCCCCAAGATGGCAACCTAGGGCCCAAAATATGGGACAAAATAGTCTCAATGGTTTCCTGCCAGCCTAAAGAAGCAGATGATCCCTCACTGTCTTTCAGAACAAGAAGCAACAGGAAATGTCTTCGAAAGGAGACCCAGAGAAAGCTGCTATTTAAGCACTGTTGCGTCAACATGGCCGCCCAAATCTTGTGGGATTTCAGCATCACGTAGAAGCCAGCCTCCCCAAGATGGCAGCCTAGGGTCCAAAATATGGGGCAAACTAGTCTCAATGGTTTCCTGCTAGCTTAAAGAAGCAGATGATCCCTTACTGTCTTTCAGAACAGGAAGTAATGAGAAATGTCTTCAAAGGAGACCCTGAGAAGCCAGCCTCCCCAAGATGGCAGCCTAGGGCCCAAAATATGGACAAAATAGTCTCAATGGTTTCCTGCCAGCCTAAAGAAGCAGATGATCCCTTACTGTCTTTCAGAACAGGAAGTAACGGGAAATGTCTTCGAAGGAGACCCAGAGAAGCCAGCCTCCTCAAGATGGCAGCCTAGGGCCCAAAATATGGGACAAAATAGTCTCAATGGTTTCCTGCCAGCCTAAAGAAGCAGCACAGTGCCACCTTCAGGTCGGGTGACAAACTGCACCCTCCCTACACAGAGGCTAGACTCCCAGAGGCTTGATGGGATTTGTAGTTTCATCACAAGGAGAATGCTGAGGTTGCCTACCCCAGATCTAGAGATTCCCTAACCTTCACGAGCCATTTAAAGAGCTTTAAAAACCAACGAAAAAAAAAAACTTCATGTAGCCTTCCCTATTTATGCCAGTCTTTTCCCTTTTTAAAGACCACTTAAGGTCCTTCCACTCTTCCCGATCAGTTCACACAGCAGGCACGCCGATTTCAGCTTTTAGGGAGCACGTGGCAGCTCCGTTTATAGGCAAAGTTTAACAAATGACAGTTATTACATTAAATTTATTTTAGGATTTCCGAAGGAACACATAATTGACTAAAAGGCAGTTTTTACACATTTGCTAGGAGGTCTTGATTGATAAACAGAAAGAAAATATGGTTTTCTAGGGACGCGGCTGCTCCGGGGATACGGCTGCTCTGGGGATACGGCTGCTCCGGGGATACGGCCCGGGCTGGGCGTCCTCCGAGGACAAAGTATTACCATTATATTGGATGACGGCCCCACATATCAATCATAAAGCAGAAAACAATGAAAGCGGTCATAAACCTAAAAGCAAACAGTTATTACATTGGGCAGCACAGTGGCTACATGGTGAGCACTTCCTCCTGGCAGTACTCGGGTCGTTGGTTCAAATCCCAACCATGGCACCACCTGCCTGGAGTTTGCATGTTCTCCCTGTGCCTGTGTGGGTTTCCTCCAGGTACTCCGGTTTCCTCCAAAACTCCAAAGACATGCTGGAGAGGTTAATTGGCTCCGGTCTAAATTGGCCCCAGTATGTGTATGTATGAACGTGAGTTAGGGGCCTTAGATTGTATCCTCCTCGGGGGGGGGACTGATGTGAATGTACAATAAGTGCTGCATAAATTGACGGCGCTATATAAGCACCTGAAATAAATATTGCGGCTTACAATTTCTTAGATGTGATGGCTGCATTAGTTTTCCTTTTTTTAGGCTTTCTTTCCTTTATTTTCACCTGGTGATCTGGCTTGTAAGTCTGTTGTTTTTCAACTGAACAAGCTGTCCTGCAGATGTAGCAGTTAGAGTGTTGAGACAAACCATTTACCACTGACAGGAGAGCTCACAAATCTGCTACTACATCTAACACCCCACCCCTTCCCCTAGACCGACAATGTTCTGAACAAAGGTGCCCCCTGTACTACTTCATCCGGGGGGGGGGGGGGCACTCTAATACAGGAGGTGTGTTACTGGCCAGATCAGCAGAGGGGAAAAAAAGCCTAAAGCAAGAAAACTAATGAGCCGCCCCATCTAATGATTGGTAACCAGTTCATGTCCGGCCAATGGCAAAATGATGGCTGAGTGGGTCTCTCATCGATCCGGGTGGGCATCATATGACGTCCTTTCGGATCGCGCCTTGCCTGTTCCCACGGTTCAGGGTCAGGGTCAAAGGTCAGGGTCAGTTTTTTTTTTGGGGGGGGGGGGGTGTCAGGCTTTTTTTTTTTAATTAGTATCAGTGTCAGTTAGTGGCAGAATTAAAGAAAAGAAAAGAAAAGCAAATTGCGCACGATGGTGTCTGGGCTGTACTCCGGGTACAAGCAACAACTAGCATACACATATGTGGTATCGTTGCGATCGCCAGGAGCAGGAGAAATTATTTTGGGTTGTTCTTTGGTGGTAGGTTATGGTAATAGCAAGAAATATACAGCTAAATTTAAAAAAAAGTTTTTTTTTTACTATTTTGTGAGATCTCCATTACCATTTACCACTAAATGAGAGCCAAATGTGTCCTGAAAAAAAACCGCGGTATAATCCACCTGGATGCACAAAGCACTTGTGGGCAGGGGCAGACTGACCATTTGGAAACTTGGGCACTGCCCGAGGGCCCGGGGTCAGTAGGGGGCCCCATCAGATGCCCCCGGTACCTTTTTCATAGGCTTTTTTGAGTTTGGGCAAGGACACATGGGCCCCATGATCCCCTATTGCCCGGGGGCCCCATGAGTTGTCAGTCCGCCCCTGGTTGTGATGATATGTACGGTTTTGCTTACACATGCCAAAGTTGCAAAATTGTGCTTAGCAGTTAGGATTTGTTTTACCCTTAGGCATGAAGGGGTTAAATACCTCCAAAGGAAAGCTCTAGTTGTGCGGTGCTTGGGTATAGCGTTGCATGACCGCACAATATTCACTCAAAGTGTGAGAGTTCTGAAAGCTGAAAATTGTCCTGGGCTGGAAGAGGGTACAAGTGCCCGGAGTTGAAGTGGTTAAAAAAAAACGCAGCATATTTATTGTCTGTTCAGCCTGCCGCCATTACAGTCATAAATCCAGAGGGTTGGGTGTGAAGGATTCCCAGAGATTTTAGTGACTCGAGCTACATTGGGAACAATGGTGTCACTCAGGGGCGGACTGACAACTCATGGGGCCCCACAGGCAATAGGGGATCATGGGGCCACTGTGTCTTTGCCCAAACTCAAAAAAGCCTATGAAAAAGGTACCAGGGGCATCTCATGGGGCCCCCTACTGACCCCAGGCCCCCAGGCCCGAGTTTCCAAATGGTCAGTCCGCCCCTGGTGTCACTCCAGCTGTACGGTGTTTGTGCGAATGACAACATTCACATCTAGTGTATGAACGTCAGCGGTGCGTTGAGCGGTGCGTCGAGCGGTACGCCTGGCATTCTGTTCTACGTTGGTAATTGATGATGGAGGAGAACACATAGACAATGCCTTCAGGTGCTTCTCAAAGTCAATAAATCGGCAGTCGGCCAGGAAGCAGATCAGCCCAACCGGGAGAGAAGTTTGATTTTCCTACAACTGACAATGTCAGGTCACATGGGAAAAGCTTCAACATTTGCTCCTTGTCCTGTCGAAGGTTTGGAAGGACTGTGCAGAATTCATGGCATCATTCTAGCGGGACTAATGCAAGTGACATATGCCCGGGAGGACCTGGAGGAGGTGCAATCTTGCCCCAGGCAGTAGGATGGATAAAACCTCAACCGTGGAGGATCTCCGCCTGTGTCAATGAGAACTGGAGGAGAAACACGACATTCCATAGAGGGAACTGCTGGCCGATGGCTGATGGACAGCTTGGCAGGGCAGGTCCTGTCCCAGGTGCAGCCGGACAAATTTTTTTCTCCTTAAAGGACCACCTTAAAGCAACATTTTAGTTAAAAGTAGAGACTGGTTGGCTGATGTAGTTGCTGACAATTTATTTGCAGACTCTACTGTAGATCAGTCTTTCCCAATATTGTTACCCCGGAGGCAGTGGTGTATTCTGGATTTGTGCTGCTCAAGGCAAGACTAACCCCCACCCACCCCCACTCACCCCCACCCACCCCCACCCATCTAAACGGGAGCCAGCGGTGGCAGAGTGTGGATCGGGGAAAACAGTCTAAGGTTTCCCATGATCACAAAGATGGAGGGAGGACAACGTGGCCATCCAGGGTCCCTGTGGGACTTGTAACTAAAGTGCAAGCAGTGCACAGGCATGAACCATTGAGAACCCCCCCCCCCCAAAATTGATGGACTGCAAGTCCCAGCATGAACTCCTGAGCTGTAAGGATGTGACACCCCTCCCCCCAAATTTGACAGACTGCAAGTCCCAGCATAAACCCATGAGATCTAAGGATGTGACCCCCCCCCAAAATTGATGGACTGCAAGTCCCAGCATGAAACCCTCAAAGCTGAGGAAGTGACCCCCCCCAAACTCTAACTAGTGAAGGACTACAAGTCCCAGTATGAACCCTTGAAAACTAAGGATGTGACTCCCCCAAAATTCACAGACTGCAAATCCCAGCATGAACCCCTGAGATCTAAGGATGTGACCCCCCGAAAATTGTCAGACTGAAAGTCCCATGATGAACCCCTGAAATCTAAGGATTTGACCCCCCTCCCAAAATAATTGATGTACTGCAAGTCCCAGCATGAAGCCCTGAGATCTAAGGATGTGATCATCCCCAAAACTTGACTGACTACAAGTCCCAGCATGAACCCCTGAGATCTAAGGATGTGATCACCCCCCGCCCAAAATTGATGGACATGACCCCCCAATTCCAGCTAGTGAAAGACTACAAGTCCCAGCATGAACCCCTGAGATCTAAGGATGTGATCCCTCACAGGTTCATGCTGGGACCTGTAGTTCTTCACTAGTTGGGTGGTGAGTGAGTTGGGAGTGTCACATCCTCGGCTCTGAGGGGTTCATGCTGGGACCTGTAGTCCTTCACTTTTGAGGGGGGGGTCACAACCCCCAAAAGTGAAGGACTGCAAGTTCCAGCATGAACCCCTGAGATCTAAGGATGTGATCTCCTCCTCCCATCCCTCCGAGGGTGTCATCTGTTCTCTGCTGTCAGCTCATCTGCTGTCCTCTTTGTATAGGTCTCTGATTGGCTCCATCGGTCAGGACACAAATGGTTCCATCCCTGGGACCTCACCTCAGAGTTGAGACTCAAATCAAGTGCCCTTCCCTATGAGCAATGCCACCGCAGATGCTGGAGGAGGTGGGCAGAGGTATCTGCTAGGAGTGGAGGAGGAAGTAAACTCTTCCTCTGCTCTTAATGCTGGGGTCTGACCTCAGTCTACATTAGGTGATGTGGTGTCACTGGTTGCTAGATGACAGGCGGTCCTAGCAACCAGGAGGAGGTGCGCCAGCAGTGGAACAAGCTGTGTCTGTGAGAAAAGCAGAGCTGCGGCTGTCTTTTTTTTGAGGCATCAGAACGACTTGTGTGTCTCCTCTGCCCCCCCTGAAAAATGCTGCTATGGGAGTTGTGGGGATCTGCAGGCCACTATGGGAGGTTGGATGGCACTCTGGGAACTGAAAGCCACTGTGGGAGTTGTGGGGTTCTGTAGGCCACTATGGGAGGTTGGGCAGCACTTTGGGAACTAGGTGCCCCTGTGGGAGTTGTGGGGATCTGCAGGCCATTATAGGAAGTTGGATGGCACTATGGGAACTGAGAACCACTGCAGGAGTTGTGGGGTTTCTACAGACTGCTATGGCAGGTTGGATGGCACCATGGTAACTGGGAGCCAGTGCTGGAGTTGTGGAGATCTGCAGGCCACTAATGGAGGTTGGGCAGCACTATGATAACTGGGAGCCACTGTGGGAGTTGTGGGGATCTGCAGGCCACTATGGGAAGTTGGGTGGCACTCTGGGAGAAGCTAACTGAAAGCCACTGTGGGAGTTGTGGGGTTCTGCAGGCCACTATGGGAGGTTGGGCAGCACTTTGGGAACTAGGAGCCACTGTGGGAGTTGGGGGGATCTGCAGGCCACTATGGGAGGTTGGATGGCACTGTGGGAACTGAGAGCCAGTGCTGGAGTTGTGGGGGATCTGCAGGCCACTATGGGAGGTTGGGAAGCCCTATGGGAACTAGGAGCCACTGTGGGAGATGAAGGGATCTGCAGGTCACTTTGGCAGGTTGGGTGACACTATGGGAACTGAGAGCCACTGTGGGAGTTGAGTGGATCTGCAGGCCATTATGGGAGGTTGGGCAGCACTATGGGAACTAGGAACCACTGTGGGAGTTGGGGGGATCTGCAGGCCACTATGGGAGGTTGTGTTGCACTATGGTACCTTATAGCCACTGTGGGAGTTGTGGGGACCTGAAGACCCGTATGGGAGGTTGGAAGGCACTAGTGGAACTGAGAGCCACTGTGGAAGTTGTGTGGATATTCAGGTCACTATGGGAAGTTGGGTGGCACTACGAGAACTGCGAGCCACTGTGAGAGTTGAGAGGATCTGCAGGCCACTATGGGAGGTTGGACAGGGCTATGGGAACTGGGAAGCACCGTGGGAGTTTTGGGGATCTGCTGGCCACTATGAGAGGTTGGGTGGCACAGTGAGAGATTAAGAGATCTGCAGTTGGCTTTAGCCCGAGAAAACAGTGAATGAGAGCCACTGCCCTAGAGGATCACCGGTAGTTGACTAAACAAGTCACGATGCAGAATGCTGACCTGCTTGGCAGTTTTTCTCTCTGGAACCCTGAAGCTCCAGGAAGACTAGAAGTCTCAGGCAGACCCCCTCCAGCAGCTGAGCAGTCAGTTTGTGTCGCAGAGATTAGTTTATGACTGACAGCAACACACAGATTTAGTCAAATATTCCAGACGTAGATGGTAATCCTGGATTCTGAGGACACATGACAGAAGCTGGTTCTGCCTGGCCTTATCCATGGACACCGGCTGTTGCTATGAATATTTAGAAGGAAGTATTGGGTTTTAAAACTTCTTTTATATATTGGCTTGTTGCATAAAATCAGTCCCTGTAACATGCCCAGGGCTAAGTATAATCTGCCCTAAAGTGGGACCCTCGCTCTTCTCGTATGCCCCCTCCCATCGCCTTAACCCAAACCGAGAATGCTGAGTGTAGAGACAAGTCTTCTCTGGGCAGCACAGCGGATAAATGGTTAGACCTTCCACTAAAGTCATTGGTTTGAATCCCAACCAGTGGCATCCCGAGGCAGGTGCGGGGGGTGCACGCCACACACCAGGTGACATCTACCACACGGGGTGACACCGGACCCGCTCCACGAAAAAGTCACCCCCCCCAGGCATTGATGTCAGTGGAAATAATAAAAGACTCCCCCTTAAGGCATTGCTGTCAGTGAGAGTACTAATAGACCACTCCTCCAGGTATTGGTGTCAGTGAGAGTACTAATAGACCACCCCCTCCAGGTATTGGTGTCAGTGAGAGTACTAATAGACCACTCCTCCAGGCATTGGTGTCAGTGAGAGTACTAATAGACCACTCCTCCAGGCATTGGTGTCAGTGAGAGTACTAAAAGATCACCCCTCTGGACAATGGAAGAAATAATAAAATACTCCCCCTTAGGGTACTGGTGTCAGTGGAAAGACCACCCCTTCAGGCAATGGGGTCAGTGGGAGTAATAAAAGACCACCCTCCAGGCATCTGTGTCAGTGAAAATAATAAAAGACTCCCCCTTAGGGTACTGGTGTCAGTGGGAGTAATAAAATACAACCCCTCTTGGCTTTGGTGTCAGTGGAAAGACTAAGACTACCCCGCCAGACATTGGTGTCAATGGAAGTAATAAAGGACCACCCCTCTGGGCATCAAGACCCTATGGTGTCTGTAGTCCTGAGAGCGGGAGAAATTAGCTGGCTGTGATTGGCTGTCATAGCCGCTCCCTCCAGCTCCTGATCATTAGTACGGCCCCGAGACCCTTTCTTTGACAGCACAGTGAGCATGCTCTCAGCACAGAAAACTCTGCTGCCCACGACTGCATATGTACAGCGATAAAGCCGCCACACATATGCAATGGGCCACAAGAGGCGTAGAGAGTGCAGCAGGGGCTGATCTGTGTCAGACATTTGTGTACACAGCCTGCACAGACATCAGAAATGACATGACTGTGACCACGCATGCTCGAATAAAGAATGGTTCCGTCCTTCTAGAGCCACAAGCAAATATGAGCATTGTCAGGGGATACAATTTGTTACGCTGACACCTTGCTGAGCATGCATGCACTTAGCATGAAAAAAAAAAAAAAATCATGTGCCAGATCCGCTTTAAGGTGAAAAGTACATGTAGATAGATTGCCAGTGCGCCGGTCTCTCTCGCATCCCACAGTCTCTCTTGGCCCGCAGTCTCTCTCGGATACCACAGTCTCTCT